CACTACTGGGGACTACTTTCCACAGGTCAATCATTCATGTGGCCAAAGCGACAGGTTTTCACACTGCAGCACAACTCTGTCAGTACTGACTCGCTCCATTAACTGCTTTCCCCTGGTCAACGTAATAAATATTAACTGGGTCAATTTCTAACATGAGATTCTCCTTTGTTCAGGTAGATGGCCACTGAGGACTGAAAATCTGGCCCTGCCACTCCCCCTCCTTCCCAGTGATCCTGCTTATTGTGCAATTAGTAGGGAGGGGCTGTAATTATCTTTTGGCTGGAAGGTCTGTTCTGAATTGGGACCTGTTGCTCAATTAATTTGATCCCATGAATCTGAACTTGTTTCTGGGAGAGGCTGTGGCTTTTCCTCTTCTGCTGCCCTGTAAAGAAGTAGTTTGTTTAGACTAAATGCAGGAAATAAGTAACCACGTACTTTATAACCTCATGCAGCTTTACCTGTGGAGGTGACTGGAGGGAAGCCTGTGGCTGTGTCTTCTTGACCTCTGTCCCCAGGGCACAGAGTAGCTTCTAACTGGAAAAACAGCAAACTCCTCACCTGAGCTCTGGAAAGGCAGCATGGCATTTCAGCAGTGTTTCCATACTGCGTGGCTCTGGGAAGCCTGGAATGACCACTGGCAGTGGCTTGGGGCTCTATACAGGAACCTGATAAAGCAGTTCTGCAAGTGTCCATCTGCCATGGGTGGCTGGACATGGTGTGTGAGTTCCTAACACGGGTGGCTTGGGAACAAATTCAAGATGTGTTCAGCAGAGCTATGCAAATAGAAACCCACGTAAGTGAGGACATGGCTGTCTAGTTATCTTTAAGAAACTTACCTCAATAGCTAAGGACTCTTAGATTGCTCCTGTTCCCAAAGTTGATTCCCTCTCCTGTCCCTATCTTGAGTTTCTCTGGAGCATCGGCATGCTTCTTCCTACCCTGTAACCCCTCAGGCCTTTCAGCATGGCCCAGCTCTCGGTACAAATGGAACATGAGCCACTTGGTAACCGAACAGAACAGTTTTTAATAGAATACAGTCAGCAGGCACTGCATCACCTGCACAGCAGATACTGTATGAAGAGGTTGGTCCCTCTGTAAGAGCCACAGCAGTGGCAGCACCACGGAAGTTTTCCCGTTTTGGCTGTACTCTGTTCTTGGATGTGAATCTGTAAATAAATTCTAGCAGAGTGAGCAAAACAAGTCCTTGAATGAATGCTCTGGGTATGTCATCTTTTCAGGCCAGACACCCATCCTCCCTGCCATCTCGGCACCGGGTTAGATTAGTTTGTAACTGTTAATCGTCTATTCTTTAAAAAGGGCTGTGAGGCCTCCCCACAAGTGTGGTCTCCACACTCAGTAAGGGTTAGCACTGTGTTAGTGCTGCGGGCCTCTGGGCAGCTGAAGCCTCTGTCCTGATGAGGGCAGATGGATTCTTCACGTGCAAGAACAGTGAAGAGGCACCAGATCCCAGGAGCCGGGCAGTTCCCAAGGCTCCTGTCTGTAGCCACAGGAAGCTGCTGTCCCTGTCAGCCTCCTAGCAGTGGCAGCTCCCCCATCTCACACCTGAGGCTGGTGTAGCAGCAGGTGAGGCAGCAGGTTCAACCTTGCAGCAGAGCTGCTCAGTGGTGGGAGCAGAGCTAGCAGTTCAGAGGCTTCCTCACATGCCCTCACCTTCCTCCTCCTCTTCTGTGCTCTGAGAGCCTTTGTCCTCTGAGGGCAGAAGAGGCTGGTGCGGACATGACTGATGTCTGTCTGCACTCCTCCACGAGGCATGTGGGTCTGTCCTGCCCTGCTGGAGGAAGAGGGGCAGGAGGCTGGGGGTGAAGGGCATGTCCCTGAAGGCATGCAGGAGGAAGATGCCAGACACGATGGTGAGAAAGCCACTGATGGTGCCGATGATGTTGTCCAGCACCATGTGTTGCCACTCCTTGAAGAGGATGGCAGAGCACGTCATGACTGCTGTGGTGAACAGCACGTAGTAAATGGGTGTAACCACAGATGTGTTGAAGATGTCCAAGGCTTTGTTCAGGTAGTTGATCTGGATGCTGATGCAGATCACCAGGCACACAAGGAGCACCCAGCCCAGTGGTTCTTTCAGCACTGGCTTCCCAGAAAACAGCTCTTTCAGGGCAATTCCCAAGCCTTTAACGCAGGACACAGAAAGCGAGCCGATGGCGGAGCACACCAAAACATAAACCAGGACGTTGCTCTGTCCGTAACGGGGGCCGGCCACAAAGATAAGCAGAAGGGTGCTCACCACAACACAGACAGCAAATACAATGAATCCTTGGGGAGAGAAGAATTAAAGATCTCAGAGAACAGCAGCACCTGTCACAGCAGTGACAGATGTAACTGAACAGCAAGTAGAGATGGAGGTCTAGGAAGGTGGCAGAAGGCTTGGGAAAGCCCCACCTGAATTCTGTGGGCTGTGGGGGGATAAAGAGGAAAGCACCACATCACAGGAGTACACGGCCCTGCCAGAGCACTTCCTCTAATGAACAGCAGCATCTACCTGTTCCTCTGCTTTGCTCCTCTCCTGTGCTTTCTTCCTCCATTCCCTGTGCTGTTTCTTTCACATTTAAAGTGTGGAGACCCCAATTCTTTCCTACCACAGAAGGCAACCCACAAGCTACCCTAGACACAGGGGAATGTTTCCTCCACTGATGTACAGAATAAGAAACAGCTCACTTACTCTTTAGTTCAGTCCTTCCCAATCTATCCAAGTTGCATCCTACCTTCTACTGTCATTTCCAAGCCTGAATTGATAGGACCCTTTATATGTAAGTACCTGGATCTTTCAGCTTCTCTGCCATTGACTCCAGGCTGGAAACCTCTTCTTCCTGCGGAGCATGGATCACCATCACTGTGGAGCCCAGGATACTCAGGATGCAGCCGATCTTCCCGTGAACATTCAGCTGCTCATTCAGGAAGGCGGAAGACAAAACTGCACTGAAAGATAGTAAAACAAACCCTAAATCAATGAGGCCAAGAGATGGGGTACCTGAGGGAAGAGAGGGAGGAAAGCAGAGCAACTGCTCTCACCACTACGGGGTGGTAGGTGAGGTAAGGGTGTTTCTGAGGCTGCTTACCTAACCAGGACACTCAGAGCACCCAGTGGAGTTACCAGAGTTGCAGGGGCAAAGGCATAGGCAGCAAAATTTGCTGCTTCTCCAACTCCCACTGCAAGAGAAACGCTGTCAGGTGAGCATCAGAGGAGCAATTCGGCACAGTACAGTTTGAGAGCAGTCAGAAGAGAGCCTCTGTTTCCACCTGAGCAGCCCATGTTTCTCTGAGGTTACACTGTGCAACCAGGAAAGCACAGCACCAGCAGGAACAAGCAGAAGCCTGACGCAGGTTCTTCTGCAAAGGCTGTGTGGTTTTGCGTGGTGATCTTTGCTCACATTAGCAGGAGCCACAGGAAAATAGGTCCATAATGTTCTCAAAGCTAACAGGGGTTTTGACCCATGTTTCTAAGTCATGTTCTTGTCCTTCCAGGACAAGTTTTTACAGCTTTGTAAAGAGTAACTCGAGTAAAATTGATTAATAACGTTGAAAAGTGTAAACCAGAGCTGCTGAAACTGCTGTAGCACTAAACCCACAGTGCTGGATGTGCAGTTGTAACTACACTGTCTGGGCAGGCCATGTCAGAAGCACTTAACTCAGACCAGCTCCTCGACTCCTGTTTAAGCAAAGAAACCTGGTAATGCATGAGAATTTAGAATATACAGAGTTATGATTAGATCAGCAGCATCCTCAGATAAAACTCAAGCAATGTTCATAATAGATAAAACACGAAAGCAACTGGAAACCATGATCAATGCACTCGTAAGTGCCCTTGCACAACTTTAGAGCAGGTACTTACTGCAGAGCAGTCCTGCCCACCAAAGCCATTCCTGCAGGTACGCGTGACCTCCTTGTCCTAAGTAAGAAAGAGCAATGAGAAACCTCAGATCATTGCTCTCCACAAGTACCTGAAAGGAGGTTGTAGGGAGGTGCGGGTTTGGTCTCTTCTCCCATGTAACAAGCGACAGGACAAGAGGAAACAGCCTCAAGCTGTGCCAGGGGAGGTTTAGGCTGGACATTAGGAACAATTCCTCCACCGAGAGGGTGATCAGGTATGGAACAGGCTGCCCAGGACAGTGCTGGGGTCTCCGTCCCTGCAAGTGTTCACAGCCCGTGGAGACGAGGCCCTCAGTGCCATGGGTCAGTGGTGGCCTCGGCAGTGCTGGGGTAAAGGTTGGACCTGACGAGCTCAAACGCGTTTTCCAACCTGGCTGGTTCTGTGATTCTATAAGCTACCCAACAGGCTTATCGTGCCAGAACAGCCACAGGGAAGCGAGCAAGTGGGATCAACCTGATCCCCAAGCACAAGGCTGCCTTGTCACACGCTGGCCATGGGCAAGCACCTAAAAGCAAAGATTTTTACCCCGGTTTTGCTTTTGAAAGAGCAGTTCCACGGTCCAGCTCTATGAACGTGCCCGTGTGGCTACGGGCGCTGCCCTGCGGAAGAAGCCTCCCTTTGGAGCAAGCAGCCCCACAGGCAACGAGGAGGCAGCCGAGGCCCAGCGCTGTCCCGGCGGAGGCGCCGCGGCAGTGACAGCGCCGAGGCCGTGAGCCGAAGCCCGGCTCCGCTGCCGGCTCAAGTCCCGGTGCGTTCTGCGCTCCCCGTTGGCCCGCACCCGCCCCTCTCCGCCCGCCGGCCGCGGTACCTGCCCTGGTGCGGCCTTGGCGGCACAGCCGGAGCAGCCCCTTCTTCTTGAGGATGAAGCTGCCGCCGATGAAGGCGCTGGAGGCCAGCGCCAGGCCCAGCCCCACGTAGAACCGGGTCCGCCCGCCCTCGGGGCCCATGGCAGAGCCGCCGCTCGCCCCTTCCGGTGCTCCGGCACAGGCTCCGTTCCGGGGGAGGGCTGTTGCCGGCGCACCGAGCCTGGCTTCCGCCCGGCTGAGCAGGGCCGGGCCGGGCTCCGGGAGCGGGCCCGCGTAGCGTCGGTAGGGGACAGGCCGCAGGGTCCCCCCGCCGCGGGGCTGCCGTCACCCTGGGTTTCAGGCTTGGTGTTCCTGGCGAAGAAGGGGAGATGAGTAAGGGCAAGGACGATGCTCCGCATGAGCTGGAGAGCCAGTTCGTGCTGCGGCTGCCGCCGGTAAGAGCCGTTCGGTCTGGGGCAGGCATCGCGGTTACGTGCGGCTCATGCCCGTTTACTGGGTGAGCAGCGGGCTGGCGACACGGGTTCGCCAGGCAGGTGGGGCCGGTTGTGAGCCTGCGGACCCGGCAAGGGACGTGGGCACAGGCTGGGTGCTTTGGGTACCCGTTCCCGCTGCTTTGGGCTGATCTTCCACGGCCTCCTCTTAGGGGGAGGTGACACGGAGCTGGAGGCTGGGGAGACAACGCAGAGGCTCAGGGGGGGAGCCTGAGGCACCGCGGGTGCTGGCTCTGCAGGGCTGTGGCTGTCAGCGCGCTCGATGCTGTGGGTTGGATGCTTGAAGCCAAGGCTGTGTCATGCTGAGACCACAAGAGCTCGGTGATGGGAGCTGTAACCGCCCGCAGAGCTGTGTCCCCGGCAGGAATCACGCTGAAGTCGGGGGCTCCACCCTGCTGTCAGAGCTGCATCATGTCCTGGGGTGTGAAGGGCACTGGGAATAGCAGAGCCACAGGGATAATGCATTGGGAGGAGGGTGCCGTTTTCATTGCAGCACAGCTGTCTGTGTTGGCATGGAGGGGTGCTTGAAGCTGGGCAGAAACCTTTGGTGATTCTCGGAAGCCCATCCAATCCTGACATAAGGCTTTCCAACCTTCCCAGGAATATGCCTCCACTGTGCGGCGAGCGGTACAGTCTGGGAATGTCAACTTGAAGGACAGGCTCACCATTGAGCTACACGGTGAGTGAGCAGGATCGGGGCGTCTTATAACTCCTCTGACAGTCCACAAGTGAAGCTGTGTGACTTGCGTGTGTCTTCCCTTGATGTCTTTGCTGCCCAGGAATGCGTTGCTCAGTTTAACTGTTCAGTGACAGTGGTAACCTGTCCCATGGCTTTCCACAGCGGATGGGCGCCATGGGATTGTCCGTGTGGACCGGGTGCCACTGGCAGCCAAGCTGGTGGATCTGCCCTGCATCATTGAGAGCTTAAAAACCATTGACAAGAAAACCTTCTATAAGACAGCAGATATATGCCAGGTATGGTTTGTCCTCATCTGTCCCAGCAGCTTAATTCCTTGCTCCCGGCTCCAGGAAAACCGCTGTACACTTTGGCAGCTGGACGCCCAGTATAACATGGCCAATTTCGGTACTCTCACAATAGTAGCAGTTTAAAATTCATTTAGAAATCCCATTTGCAAAGCATGAAACATGATTGTCCTTGTAACAGCTTCACTGCTGCTGTGCTTGGGTATGAAGTGAGCTGCTTGTGGAATACTGTGTTTCTCGTACCCCGTGCCTGGAAATCCCTTTGGCTCACCCATGCAGTGGGCAGTCACTTCATTTTCCACAGAAGCTTTCACATCCTTTTGTCCTTGTATAACAATAAGCACCCTTTATGTTTATGTGGGGATTCCAGATGCTTGTTTGCACCGTGGATGGTGATCTGTACCCCCCTTTGGAAGAGCAAACTGTGAGTACTGACCCTAAGGCAAACAAGAAGAAGGACAAGGACAGAGAGAAGAAATTCATCTGGAACCATGGCAGTGAGTAGAGACTGTGCCAAACACACAGCTCCATCCCACCACCCCAGTGTCCCAACAGCTATTGAGGGCACTCACCACTGCCACGTCTCGCCTGTGGTGCTGCTCTTTTCAGTGCTGTCTCTGTTCCCAAAGGGATCTTCTCCCTGTTGGCACACAGCTCTCCCATTAGGCCATCTGCCTGACACATGCAATCTGTTTCCTCTGTCACAGTCACTCTTCCCCTGAAAAATGTACGGAAGAGACGATTCCGGAAGACAGCTAAGAAGAAGGTGAGCTGCTTCTCACACAGATACAGAAACCAAAGCAGAGGCATTAGGGCTGTGTCTTTCTATGAGCCCAGAAAACATTGCTTCATGTATTTCCTTGCCCGAGATGAGGGTGAAGGATCGGTAGCAGATTTAAGCACTTCTTTGGGTGCTTCTTCCATGTTTCCCAAGATGCTCCTAAGGGGAAAATCCTCTGTGCAGAGGACTGCTGGAACCCATTCCTGTGTCTGCCTTGCCACAGTGCATCTCTTCCTGCTCATAGAGAAGGAAGGAAGACTTGCATGGAAATGAAGCCCCGCTCATTCCTGCTTTCCCAGCTGAAATCTTCTCTCTATGCATAAGCTGTTCCCTTCCCCAACAAGCAATGCTACAAATAGAATAACTGTCATTTCAGCTGGGGGAGTGACAACAGATGGAGCTCAGAGACTGTCTCTGTGCATATGCACAAACCAGGCAAGGTGCTGGGGAGAGGCAGTGCTGTGAGGTTGAGAAGGCTTGTTCTTCTCTGCTTTGCAGTTCCTGAGAACTATTTCATGCTATTTTGCATGACATTTGGGAAACAAATTACTCGAGACATTCTTACAGCACACAGGAGAGATTTGATGTCACTGCATTAAGATTCCTGGCTGATTTAAATGTGAAAAATTAAACCTGCTTTTGACTGAGGTGGGAAGGAGCTGAGCTGACCATCCGTCAAGATACAGCACCTCAAAGACTTTCTGCATACACACCTAAAGTCTTATTTCATAGCCAAGTACAAAAGTGAGAGCAGACAGCCCACCAAGGAGCTCTGTGCAAAAAAGATGGGCTGCCTTCAGGAGGTGCATAAATTACTTCTGGGGTGAGGATGAGCAAAGGCTGAGCAGAAAGCATAAGAGAAGAGAGGCTTGAGATGTCTCTGTCCAGAGGTGGAGGGTTGGAGTTGGCCAACAGCAGCGTGCACGAAGCATTTAACAATTTCTCTGTTCTCTTTCCCCTCTCTGGCCTAGTATATAGAGTCTCCTGATGTGGAGAAAGAGGTGAAGCGTCTCCTGAGCACAGATGCTGAAGCTGTCAGTGTCCGTATCCTTTTAGGAGAGAAAAGCCCAAGCCGGGGATGGGGCACTATGTGTGACCTGGGGGTTCTGGCAAGGAGATAAGTTCAGCTTAATATGGGTGTGAGAGGCTACGAGATGGGTGTGAGGGGCTGCAAGACAGAGGTACAAGAGGCACTGAAGTTTTGGAGCTTCATCTTTTCCTTGTTCAGAGCTCATTGTTTCTTCACGGTGACCTTCCTTGGACTGTAGTATTGTACTGAGCAGGAACGTAAGTAACGGCAGAGGAGAAGTCATCAAGCAAAGGGGCTGGGGTGGTTTGTCCTGGATGGCCATAGCTCTAAGGCCAGACTTGCTGGAGGAGCAATGATCCGCTGCAGTTTTTAGCATTCTTCCATCACACTGCATCTTTCATGTTCCTCTTTTTCCCTTGACTCATCTGTTCCTGCTCTCAGGCTGGGAAGTCATTGCTGAAGACGAAACAAAAGAAGTAGACAACCATGGTTCGCTCACCAGCCTGGACATCTCCTCCCCAGGGATGTCAGGACATAAGCAAGGCTCCTCAGGTGCAGTGGGCAAGGCTGTTCTTTTCTTTCTAGACACTAAGTAAATCGGTTGGCCCCATTCTCTCTGGGGTAAGCCCTAACCAGAGCAAAGGAGAGAGGGCGTAGAGAGAGACACCCAGTACTGACATGGTCCCTGGCAGGCAGAGGGTGTGAGGAGGTCATCAGCTGTGCTTTTTCTCTTCTCTTCCCCTTAGAACATGATGAACTACGGGAGATATTTAATGACATCAGCAGCAGCAGTGAAGATGAAGATGAGAGGGATCATCATGACGATGAAGACCTGAACATCATGGACACTGAGGATGACTTGGAGAGGCAGCTGCAGGACAAGCTGAATGAGTCTGATGGGCAGCAACAGGAGAATGAGGGCTCCAACCAGATAGGTGAGTGGATAGCAGAGCACAGTAGGGTCACCAGGGTGCCAGGCAGCCTGCACTGGCCCAGCTCTGCTGCTGTGGGTCTGAGCTCACTCTCTCTTCCAGTCATGGGGATCCAGAAGCAGATTGACAACCTGAAAAGTAAACTCCAGGAGACCCAGGACAGGAGGAAGCGCCAGGAAGATCTCATCATGAAAGTGGAGAACTTGGCCCTCAAGGTGAGAGCTCTCCTGGGGGCTCTTCAAGTCTTCTGCTTAGCACTGGATTGCCATTAGATCCAGCAGACTGATTCTGCTGCTGGCCTGGAAAAGGCATGGGTCTGGGCTTGCTGGGTTAAAAATCATGGAATCCCAGGTTGGAAGGGATCTCAAGGATCATCTGATCCAATCTTTCTTGGCAAAAGCAGTCTATGCAGGATGCCCAGCACCCTGTCCAGCTGACTCTTAAAGGTATCTGATTTTGGGGAATCTACCACTTCCCTGGGGACATTGTTCCAATGGCTGATTGTTCTCATTGGGAAAAATTTTCCCCTTGTGCCCAACTGGAATGTCCCTGGGAGTAACTTGTACCCATTAACCCTTGTCTTTTCCATGTGACTCCTTATAAAAAGGAAGTTTCCATCTTCCTTGTAGCCACCTTTTAAATTTAAACATGGTGATAAGGTCTCCCCTGAGCCATCTTTTCTCTAGGCTGAAAAAACCTTTAAGCCCTTCTTGAAGGTAGAGGTGACATTTGCCTTCTTCCAGTCTCCTGGCATGTCCTCTGATCTCCACGACTTCTCAAAGACTATGGAGAGCGGCCTTGCAATGTCAGCCAGCTCTCTTAACACCTTTGGAAGATGTCATCAAGGCCCATCGATTTTTAGGGGTCGGGACTGCACACAACTGCAGGGCTGGCTGTCGGTGCAGCCTGGGGCTTGCTGCACTGTTTGACATGTTGTACTGGCACCCATTCAGTTGAGAGCACACCGGTGACTGTGATGTCTCATGTTTGTCTCTGCAGACGCGTCTCCAGGCCGTGCTGGATGAGTTCAAGCAGCAGGAGGAGCGAGAGAAGCAGCAGGTGAGGAAACTCCCACAGCGGAGGGGGAAGAACTGGGACATGATGTGGTTCTAGGCTTGACCTATGACGAAGTTTCCTTAATCTTGTACCACACCAGGTCAGCTGTGCCTGTACCTTATCTGTGGTTGCAAGGGTTTCCTAAGGCACAGGGAAGTGTAGGAGATGGGGTTGATTACAGCCTTCCTTCTGGAGGAGCAGGGACCCAAAACTGTGGATTGCTACCTGGGGTAAAACCTGACATAATAGCTGCCAGGATTGCTACCTGGAGTAAAACCTGACACAGAAACCCACTAGCACCTATGTACAAGAAGGGCAGTGGCTGTAGGGTCTGGGCACATTTCCTGCCTGAGCAGCTCTGCTGAGTTTCAACCAGGTACCAAGGCAGGAGGTTCCCACTCCCACGTTCCTGTTCTGCCCCAGAGGTGCCCAGGGATGGCTCCCTGCAACGTACAGGCACAGCAGCACCAGTGTAGGTGGAAGATCCACAGAAACAGAAGTGCTTGGGCTGGAGCTGCCAGGAGTCCCTGCTATGCCATATTGCAATGCCTCACTCTCTCTTCCCAGATGACGTCCCTGCAGGAGCAGCTGGAGTCCCTCATGGAGAAGTGAGGAGCAGGCCGGGGTCTTTATACCTGCGAGCAGAGCTGGAAGTGGTGTTATCTGCCACGCTGAAGTCTATGCTCTAGTCACACACCTCTGCTGCTGGGCATGTCCAGTGCTGGTCTCACATGTATTTTTCTGGGCTGGGTTTGCGGAGCTAAGGAATTAAACTATGCCTGTGAGAGCAGCCAGAATACGGGATTTACTGTAAATACTCAGCACCATTCTCCCAGAGGGGTTTAGTTCCCCCTGGGGCAACTTTCTGCATCTTGATGGGCTGTGGCCAGATAGGAACTTGTTCTTGTGTGTGAGGAATACTCGTGTCTGCAAATCAGACTCAATAAAGGACTGTTTCCAACCCTTGTCTGCTCTTCTGTGGTCTCCAGGGCACAGACTGCAGAGCACAGAGCCTGTGACTGCCTCTGACCACGCACAACAGTTCTGGGCTCCTTCGCTGAAGTGCTCCTTCTGTGGCTGGGTAAAGGAAGCGTGGGGAAGGGAGCCCTGTGAGCTGTCAGGCTAAAGAAGGACCGAAGCCCTCCTGATAATTCCTCACAGACTGGGCAGGCAAATCCCAGATTAACCTGGCAGGGTGGGAAGAGGATTAGAAGGGCAGTTCCAGAATGCAACAGAGGGCACCAAGGGTGTGCCACGGTAGGACACCCCTCTGTCAACCCAAAGCACAAGGGAAGGGGAGAAGGGCTTCCAAGCTCTGCCCCAGCACAGAGCTGGGAAGGCCAGCAGCAGCCCTGGGAGATGACATGTGTGTGCAGATAGTCAGGAAAGGGAGAGACCCTGAAGCAGACGTGGAGCTCAGGAAGGGCCTGAGCGTGGCTCTGTGCCTGTGACCTGCTCGTGAGGGCCAGCAGGAGCAGCTATGGAGGAAACCTACCTGCTGAATGTGGAAGGGGTCAGGAAGAAGATTCTGCATGGAGGCCAAGGGGAGCTGCCCAAGCTGCAGGATGGGAGCAAGGTAAGTTGCCTTGGTTGTTACACCAAAGCCCTAGGAGAGGGGAGTGGGCCCAACGCCACCATCCCTGCCCATTACAGTTAGCTGTAAAAGCCATATTTGGGTCTGTGGTATGGGGAGATCCCATCTTCAGGACATCTCTCTCAAGGGGGAGGTGCAGGAAGGGCTGGTTTGGGCACAAGCAGCTACAGGGGTGCCAGTGGGGAGCTGATATTCCCCAGCCCATGGGCATGGGCAGAGTAGTGTGGGTTCTGCCATCTCCTGGTGTATCCTATGGGCACATTCTGGATTATAAAGTGGGATCCAAAGAGAACAGCAAGATACATCAGTGATGGGTGTTTAGACACTCCACCATCTGCTTGCTGTCGTAAGAGGCATGAGAGAGAAGGAGGCACAATCTCCTGCTGTGAATGGAGAGCTGCCAGTCAACCCAGCACGCTGCTGGGAGCAGGCTTGGGCCTGGATCTTGGCCCCATGGCAGAGGGATTTGGGGCTGGTGAGGGGCCGGAGGTCTCTCACTGCTCAACACTGAGCTTTTTCTGGGGCAGATCACCTTCCACTTCCAGACACTGAAGGATGACTTTGAGCGGACGGTCATCGATGACAGCCGGGAAGCTGGCATCCCTATGGAGATCATCGTGGGCAAGATGTTCAAGCTGGAGATCTGGGAGACGCTGCTCAGCTCCATGAGAACTGGGGAAGTGGCTGAGTTCTGGTGCGATGCCATTGTGAGTGAGGGGCCCATAGGCATCTACCCACCTCCTTTCTGCAGGGTCAGGGCACAAGACCACGTACCCAGAGATACCCCAGCCTTGCCTGGTGCAAGCACAGGGCACTCAGGTGTCACCATTGCACCACTGGGCTACCCCCAGTGGAAGGGGTGCAGACAAGACCCATGCAGCTGAGCAGGGTGCTCCCCCTCCTTGCAGCACACAGGCATGTATGCCCTGGTCTCCAGGGGCATGCGGAGGATCGCAGAGGGCCGGGACCCCCTGGAAGGGCAGAAGCACCGCTGTGGCATGGGCAACATGTTTGACTACCATAGCACGGGCTACGATGACCTGGATGAGCTGCAGCGGACGCCGCAGCCCCTCATCTTCATCATGGAGCTGTTCCGGGTAAGGGGGATGTGGGGATGGGGAGGGATTGCCAGGGCAGCAGCTCAGCTCCCGCTGCCCGTGCAGGTAGAGGAGCCCTCAGCCTACAAACGTGACACGTGGGCCATGAGCAAGGAGGAGAAGCTGGCGGCAGTGCCCGTGCTGCACAGCGAGGGCAACCGCCTTGTGCTCCGCAAGGAGTTCGCGCAGGCAGCAGCCAAGTACCAGGAGGCTGTCATCTGCCTGAGGAACCTGCAGGCCAAGGTGAGCAGGACCCAGGCACCTCCTGTCCTCCCTGAGGGAGGGGATGGCCACAGCCACGAAACACCGACTGTGGCTCCCCGGGGCAGGAGAAACCATGGGAGGAAGGCTGGCTGAAGCTGGAGAGGTTGGTCACACCGCTGGTGCTCAACTACTGCCAGTGTCAGCTGGAGCTGGGAGAGTACTACGAGGTGCTGGAGCACACAACAGAGCTCCTCCAGAAACACAAAGGTACCTGTGGCCTGCATCCCACCCTGCTGTGCACACAGCCCCAGGGACTCTGGCCTCTGGATTTCCCAATCGTGACAACGCTCATCCCGTATCCCTCTGCCTGTGATGGTTGCCTGGATCCCCATGGCCACTGCAGAACCCACGTCCCAGGTCTCCCTGCCCATGATGGCACCTGCACCCTGTATCCTCCACCTCTACCCCATGATATCCCACATCATCCACAACCCCCCCCACCCACCATGATTCCCCTTTCCCATGATGATCCCTGCACCCTCTACCCCCTGGTGCCCGCAGTGGCACAAGTAACCCTGCCCCTACCTCCAATAGCACCCAGCGCTGCTCCGCACGCGTTCCCATGGTCTCCAGCTCCTGTGGCTGGTGGCCCTGAGCTGCAGGACCCCCCCCTCCCCGGGGGCTCTCCTCTCCTGGCAGACAACGCCAAGGCCTATTTCAAGCGGGCGAAGGCTCACGCTGCTGTGTGGAACGAGCGGGAGGCGCGGGAGGACTTCCTGCGGGTGGCTCACCTCGACCCCTCCATGGCCGCCGCAGTGAAGAAGGAGCTGAAGCAGCTCGGGGAGAGGATGAGGAAGAAGCACGTGGAGGATCGGAAGCGCTACCAAGGGCTCTTCCAGCCACCCCGGGGGCCGCAGGCCAGCAAGGGGCAGGAGAGCAGGGAGGTGCTGCAGGAAGGGGCACCCCAGGGTGAGGCTGGGGTCCCAGAGACCCCTGGGCAGGGGGAGTGGGGCGCAGGGATGGGAGAAGCAGAACAACCAGGGGCTGACCAAGCGGAACAAGGGACCCACAGGGCTGGGGGTGAAGGGGCAGCACCAGGAGTCCTGACCCAGGGGCAAGCTGCAGAGGTGGAGGGGAGGGGTGGGACAGGAGTGGGGGAAGAAGAAAACATGGGCACCTCTAGGGCAGAGTCAGGAAGCTGGGGAGCAGAGAGGGGAGCAGAAGAGGGAGGTGAGGAAGAAGAGGAGGGGGAAGAGGAAGAAGAGGAGGGAGAGAAGATGGAGAAAAAAGAAAAGGAGGACAGAGGGGAAGAGAAGGAAAAGAAGACAGAGGAGAACAAAGAGGAAGAGAGCCCACAAGCAGAGAAAGAGGAGGAGAGGAAAGAGGAAGGGAAGAAGATGGAGGAGGAAGAAAAAGAGGACAGAGAGGAAGAGGAGGCCAGTAAGGAAGAGACTCCACAAGCAGAGAAAAAGGAGGAGGGGAAAGAGGAAGAGGAGGGGGAAAAAGGGGAGAAGATGGAGGAGGAAGTAAAAGAGGACAGAGAGGAAGAAAACGAGAAGGTAGAGGAGGACACAGAGGAAGAGAGCCCGCAAGCAGAGCTGCACACGCTGTCTGCAGGGCACTGTGGGGCAGCGCGAGGGACAGAGGCATCAGGGTTCGGGCAGGGGCTGGAGCAGGGAGCCGGTGGAGCACGGGATGCTGGCACAGGGACCACGGCCAGGGCTGAGCCAGGCAGAGCCCCAGAGCTGGATGAAGCACCCGGCGAGGTGCTGGCAGAGGGGAGCAGCGGGGAGCAGCCAGCAGGCACTGCCAAGGGGGAAGGTGGCGTCCCCCTAGACAGCTTCCCCCCGGGGGCAGAGCTCCAGGCTCGGCACGCAGGGACAGGGGATGGGCTGGATGGAGGCTCAGGGGTACCCCCCTGCCCCACAGCAGCCAGGGAAGGGGGTGGTGCACCCCCAGAGCCCTGCAGCGAGAGCAGAGAGCTCGGGGCCAGCCCTGGGCAGGGGCACAGCACAGGCGGTGGGGCTGCTGTGCACTGAGAGGGAAGCCCCAGGGCAGTGACACGGGAACAAAGCTGTCCTCCACCGGCCACTGCTGCAGCGCCCGCCTGCTGCCGCCCTGCCCCGACTCGCCGGCTCCAGCCCCGCGCAGCCGGCACCGCTGAGCTCTGCTGGCTCCGAAATAAAAGCTCTTCCCTGGCACCACGGGCTGGATCTGTTCCTGGATGGGACCCGCTTCCCTGATCACCTCCTGCCTTGCCCTGGAGCCTGCAGCACACGGATGGGGCACTTTGTGCCACCCTTCACAGAGGCTGCGGTTCACCCCCGTTTACGCTCCGGAAAGTCTCCTTGGTGAGAGCGGTCCCCATGCAGTAGCGTCGGGTCGGGCCTTGGCACAGCACCACCAGCCCTTCCAGGTGGGGGTGAGAGCAGGTCTGGCCCTACAAGGGTCAGTCCTGGCCAGGCTCTGCATGGCATCTCAGGCTGGTCTGCACCCTGTGGGGCAGGGAGCCCCCAGCCGTGCCCTGGGCTATGAACCAGCTGAGCCCTCACTGTGCCATGGAGACACAGGGAGCATGGGGCAAAAGCACCCTGACACCTCTGTGCCCTGGAGACCTAATGGGGCTCCAAGGAGAAAACATGGAGGGAGAGGACTGCCCATCCAGCATCCCTCTGCTGCCTACATCCTTCCTGGGGCTGAAGGGTTTCCCACAGGACATATTCCCAGATGAGGAAGAACTATCCCCGCACAGCCCCTGTCCCAGGCTGCCACATGGCCCTGGGCAGATCTTGCTGGCAGTGGATGAAGGAAGGTGGTGGCTGGGGGACACATCTGTGTCCGGGGAGCCCAAGGCTCCTGCTCTGCTTCAGATGGTGTGGACACAGGGACATCTGTGTCCCAGCAGCCCTGCAGGACCAGTGCCAGGGTGGCACGGTGGTGGCAGCTGCCCTGACTCAGCCAAGGTGCATGGACAGAAGAGGCCAGAGCACTGATCCGGGTCTCAGTATGAGTACAAATTTATTCTCCTTCCAGAGCAGAGAATCACAAAGCAGAGAGGACAGCAGCACCACGGTTACCAGAGCATTAGCCAACCTGCTCCCCTCCCTGCCATATCCTAGCTCCCAAACACAGCCCTGTGGTACCCAGTACCTGGCACCAGGGCCAGCTGCTCTGCCCTCATCCTGCCTTTTCCTTCCTTCAGCTCCCCTCTAGCTGCATACTCCCGACCTCACACTCAGGCCAAAACCTCGCTCCTCCCCATATCCCCTAGTCCTGCACTGGGATAACAGGAGACCCAGCCAGGTCTTGCAGGCTGGAATATGGTCCCTTCACTGCAGCCAAACACACAGCATGCTTACAGCCAGCCTACCATCAATGCCACCGGTAATGCACGGCTGCTGCCAGCCTGGGTGTGATAGGGGACAGCAAGGACAGCAACTCGCACTGCTGTCAGTGGACACTGCAGCGCAACACCCCAAAAACCAGGCCATAGGATTCCCAATGCCCAATCCCCACTGTGGGCACTGCTTCACACCTCTGCCAGCACTGTCTTGGTCCAAACCTCCCAGACAGCTCACACCACATCCCACCCCAGTCTGGTACAACAGCCCCGTCCCTGTCCTCGAAGCAAGCCCTGCTTTGGGCAGGATGCTTCACACCTGCATGAGTCCCTGCCTTGCCCTGCCCTATCCCAAGGGCTCAGGCATCTCATCATTGTGTCCCCAGAGCATCAGGACTACCTCAGCCCCACTCTGGGCACCCCTCAGCACCTGACTCTACCTCTTCCTCGACATAACACAGCAAGAGACAGCCAGCCTGAGGGAGCCTTTGGGACCAGCAGCACCATCGTGCTGCCGCCCATTGCAGAGGAGCCTCCTCCCTGCTGCCTGATTCTGAGTGACTCCAGCCCCTCGGCCCAGCTCAAACTGAAGGACAGCAGCAGGGCAGCTGCTTTGGGGTGGCAAGGAAGTGCCCTGCCTGTCCTGCTGCCTGCCTGCGCTGCTCCTGCAGCACAGCTCAATGTCCTGGAGAAGCCCCTTCCCGAAGCACTGTTGGCTGCAGGAGCCAAGGCTTCCCAGGGATGGAGCCAGGTCCGGGCAGGACACGCTCTCTGTGCCACAGCAAAGGCACAGCTCCCCAGCAAACCAGGCAGGACAGGGTACCTGCTGCTGGTCCAGCCTTCCACTGAGCTCCCCTCGCAGCAACCCTGCTCCAAGGCAGCATCAGCAACAGGGGAAGTGCTGGTCCCTGCAGGAGCAGAGGCTGGGCTGGACTGAAAGTGAAGGGCAGCTGCACTTACAGTATTAGAATTTAATGGAGTGAGTCCATGAGAGTATTTAAGTACAGAATATATATATATAACATACAGAAATATATGCAAATTAGATGATAAGGCTCTGTTATAAAGACCATCTCAAGGTAAGGCTACTAGCTGGGCTGAAGCTCTGGCATGGACTCATCCCTACTCCATAAACCTCCCAGCCTCTCCCCACCAGGCAGCACATGCCTGGCTGGCTGCAGAGCCCTGGCTGGCAGAGAGAGTTCAATCCATAAGGCTGGCAGCTGGATGCTGTTAGAGAGAGCTCTTGTAAAACCTGGGTGCCTCCAGGAGTGTTTTGGTGCCCATAAACCTGGATCAGAGATGGAGAGCAGTGGGGTGCTGAGCTCTGCATCCCCCGAGGGCTGCGGGGAAAGGCAGCAGCCTGCAAGTGCCAGGGGAGACAAGCAGCTTCTGCTGCTTCAGTTCTTCCTTCTGACCCTTTCCATCCAGGCCTGGGCACTGTGGCTGTGACCAAGCCAGCCTCCTGGGAGCCCACAGTCCTGCTCCTGCCTGGCCCGTGTTCCCCTGAGGTCTCCTGGGACTGGCAAGTATCCTGCACAACTGCCTCACAGGGAGTCTGTGCGAGGTCTGCTGCAGCACAAGGAGTGTAGCAGGGAGGGGAAGGGGAGGAAGGTAGCCAGGTAGCTGGTTAGGAAAAGCCTCTGGCTCACAGGAGGTGTTAGATAAGGGAGGTCATACCTGGAAGAGAAACACAGAGGTCAGGACAACAAGACCTGGAGCCACACGGTTAGAACTGGGCTGCTGCAGAGCCAAGGAGGATCGGGTTCAGGGATGGCAGAAAGCAGGCCAGGGGCTGGGCAGAGAGGGAAGCTCCCTGCTGTGTTAGTGCTGGCACCAAGCAATGCCTCCCTCAGCACACGCATGGGCAGCTTGGGCGCAGGACCAAGTGCTGCTCTTGGGATGGAGCACAGAGGAACAGCAGTAAAACCAACATCAAAACCCACTGGGCAGGTTAAGTGCCATCCGCGTGTATCCCCCAGTCCCCATCCCTGCTGTGCAGAGATGTCCATGAGCAGCGAGGAGAGCTCGCACCATTGCTTCCATCTCATCCAGTAACTACGGCCTCGACGTGTCCCGGAGAGGGGTCTAGACAGGGATGGAGCAAAGAGGTGGCTCAAGGTGGTCACTGCAGACTCGATGCTGGCAGGTCTGTCCATCTCTGCCATGGGGAGCCCTGCAGGGTGCAGGGTCCCGAGCAGGGCAGAGGCTGCCTTGTGGCTTATTGAGGGGGTCTATTTGGTCCATACTCTTGGCAGCATTTCCTTACGGGTATAAAAACTCCTCCTCATCCTCTCTGTGCCCAGGCCAGCACCAGTCCCAGCAGCACTGTGGCAGCAGAGCTCTTGGCTTTAGGCGCTGCAGGGGACCGGCCATCACAGAGAAGCTGGGATCGGGACAGGGCTCTGTGGGAAAACCTCATCTGAGGGAGCAGTAAGAGGCCAGAGAGGGGGATTTCACTCGGGTACCTCGAGAGTTGGGGAAGGCGCTGCGCAGCTTCTCCATGATGTCTTCCAGGCACACGCTGACCTCCTGGGTTTTGGCTTCCACCTCATCTGCAGCAGGAAAGAGGGCAGGGGGTGAGCAGCTCCATGGGCATCCACCTCTCTGGCCAGCATTCCTGCAGGATGGCAGGGCCCAGGCAGCTTCCTGCAGCGCTGAACTCAGGGGGAGCTCAGTCCAGCCTCAACCCTCACCTGCAGTTTCCGTGTCAGGGGTGTTGTGCTCTCTCTCCTTTGCCTGGCTGCCTTCAGACTGATGTGGAGATGAAGCCAAGGAAGAGGCTGCTGAACCGTTGCCCTCTGACTCTGCTGGAGGCTTGAGAGAAGGCGAATTGTCACAATTCTGTGTCCTTGTCCTCCCCCAGTTCCAACCGTCCCTTTCTGCCAGCTCCGTTATGGCAAAGCCCGCCCCAAGGATGGGCTTCTCTGCATCCTTGCTCCGACAGTACCTGCAGCAGCAGCTCCCTCAGCCGGTGCAGTTGGGACTCCAGCTGCTTGTTGTGGTCCTCCAGGATCTGCATGCGGGTCTCCAGGCGGCTCTTGTGCTGCCGGAGGATCCGTGCTTCCGCCAGGAGCTCATCATTACATGGGTCTTGCATGGATTCAGGGGAGCTTGTAGCCAAGGTCGGAGACTCCACCGCCTCATCGTGCTGCCACTTCAAACGTCTCAGCTCTCCCTGGAGGATCCTGCGGGATAGCCTGCATCAGCATCACCGCTCTCCTCAGAGACAAGGCACCCCTGGAGCCTTTGCTGTGACGCTTGAGGACCAGCACGCTCCCGAACCCTGTCCCTGCACCACAGAGTAGCCTTCCTGCAGCTCTGCCCCGCTTACAAAGAGCCATGCAACTGCTTCCTAAGAGGCTGAGAGCAAGGGAAAGCATCACCTCCTCCTGAGCCGATCTGCCCTGCCTAGAGCCTCACTGCAAGTGATCCAGAGCAGCCCCACCACTGCTTGCGAGGGGCTCAGGGGAAGACGGCAGTGCCCTGTGCTCACATCAGCCACTTTGGGGTTCAGGAGGGGAACAGGTTCTGGGCATGGGGCAGGAACATTTTGGCTCTTCTGCCTCCTCAGAGAGCACACCCTGAGTGCTCCAGGGAAGGTTTCAGAGCTCCAAACCAGCCTACCCAGCTCCTCCAATCCCTGCTCCAGCCCCAGCAGCTATCCCCAGCTCCACTCTGAGCTCGGCCAGGCTCCTCCAGCCCCTTTCCCTTAGGCTGTAACCCCCCTTTCAGAGTTGCCTATGCCCCTACCTGTTCTCATCCTCCAAGTGGGCCAGGATTCGCTCCAGCTCTCCCTTGTCATCCATGTTGAGGCTTCCTGGCATGGGCTGGCTGCCCCCGGGCTCTCTGTCAGTGATGGGGCTGGAATGGCGCAGCAGGTACTGGTCCTCATCCCTGTTGCAGCAGGGGGAGAAACCCCTTAGTGAGAAACATCAGTCCCATAGGATTTGTGTGCTCATGGGGAAGGACAGCCTGGAGGGAGGTGGGTTCATATGGGAGCTTGTTGTGGCTGCCACCACAAGTGGCCCTTTGGTAGCCAAGGACCTCAGGCTCAAAGGAGCTGGGAAGGAAAGCATCTCTGTGCCCTGGCTGGGCAGGGATGGAGCCACAGGAGCCCTGATTCCGCAGGAGGGAAAGGAGGCAGAACTCACAGGCTATCATCAGGGGACAGGCTGTCACTGAAGAAGGAACAGTTCTGGCTTTCCATCTCTGCAAGCCTGAAGGAAAGAGAAACAGGCTCAGATGTGGTGACAGACACCCTGAATGTCTGCTTAATGCACCCTTCTTACAGCAGCCCCTGCCAGACCCCTCTCTGCCATGCAGCCAGCTCAGCATCCTCTCGCATAACCGGAGGGGTGGAAGTGTGCCCTGAGCTACATGAGCTGCAGGCTCCCTGTGCTCCTCAGCTCCCCACACTCTGCCTGGACCCATGCTGAGGGCAGAGGCGTTACAGACCACAAGGCAGCAGCACTGGGCAGCACATGGGCAGAGCAAGGTGCTGAGGAACCCATCCAGCAGCTCATACAGGGAAAAGAGCAGGAGGGTGCATGGAGGCTGCTTCACCACTAAGATATCTGCTGTCAAATGCATGGTGTTCGCTGCCAATTTGCGTGGCATCAGCCGCATCCCAGGCAGGAGCAAAGTGGTGTGGGCAGGTCTGCCTGGCCCTGGAGCTGCCTCTTCCCATCACACTGCAGCCAACCCCATGTGCTGGCAAGCACGGAGGGGGCTGCAGGCAGCAGGAGCTCACTGTACATGTGCCCTGGAACCCCTCCGCACCCATCAGGACCACAGTCCATGGCAGCAGTGCCCATGGTGATACCTGCTGGCAAAGTGCTCGATCCGGGAATGGGTATCGGCGTGAGGCAGCATCGGGGAGGAGGCTGGTCTGGAAGAGATGCACACTGCTCAGCAAGGCTTGGCAGCCTTCCCTCAGAGCTCAGCCTTGGAGGAGCTGCCCTGGACTCCAGGGACAACCTGGAGAGGGAGACTGATATCTCTGCTCCAGCAACAACTAGGAGCTGTATCACCCCCAGAGCAAGTGCCTGCTCCAACCCTCCCATGGGAGCCCTGTCTTGCAGCTGAGATGCTGCTTCCATCTCTAGAGCTCACATATCAGATAGGATCAAGAGACGCAGCCAACTCACGTCTCAGAGAAGTCAGCCTCAAGGACGGACTGGACGGGCAGGTAACCTCTCTGCGGGTGCTTGCTGAAGTACTGCTTGGACCGGAACTTGTTCTTCAGCGTTGTGGCAAAGTCCCTCATGTTCTCACTGGATGTGGTCTGCAGAGACACAGACATTGCCAAAGCGCTGCTTAACAAAAAGTGGGGACCACAGCAGGGGAGAAGTCCCTTCAGGCTGCACCCGAGCTCCATGGAGGGAGAGGCAGACACAACCGAGGAAGCAAGCAGGGCCATGGCAGTTCTCTCAGCCTGTCATTGGGCCTGGCACAAGCCAAGCTGGACATAGCTGGGTGCCCATCGTGCTCACCAGGAGCCCCGGAGCAGCAGGGACACAGACAGCCTTCAACATGCAGAGGGGAGCAGAAACACACAAAGGGATCCACTTTTGGGGCTGCACCAGCCTCAACATCACGAGGCTCCTGCTGTCAATGGGGACCTGCTCTGAGCCAAGACCAGCCCAGCCCAGCTCCATACCGGGGTGTAGTACTCCATGATGGGGTAGTGCAGCTTGTTGCCCTTGCTGGCCCGTCCGGTGAGGAAGCAAGTCTGGCAGATATCCACATTGAACTGCTTCAGGCTCCGATACCTGGGGAGATCAAGAGGCCTTAGGGAGACAGCAAACCCACCTCATTTTGGATCAGCAGGGGACAGAGATGGTTTGTTTTGCTCTTGCACCCCACTAAACCCACAGTACTGATGGCTGAAGCGCCCAGAAAAGCATCCTGCTCCCTCCTCTCTGCTGGCACCCTGCCTGAAACACTGCTGCTGCAGAGCAATAGGTCCCCCCAACAGCACAGAACTAATTGAGCTCCATCCTGCAGGACACCACGCACTTCCCTTGGGGGCCGAGGTATCACAACCCCTACCTGAAGCCTTTGATGGGGCACTGCCGGCAGACTGAGCACTTGGTCTGGTGCTTCACCTGCTCAGCCATGGTGACCCGATGCAGCACCGCCAGCCACACCATGGACTGCGGCTCCAGGTTGGCCCACTCCAGGAACTGGGACACCTCGATGGCGGGCTTCC